ACACGGGCAGCTTGTGGCGTTGGCCAGTCATTGTTCTTAATTACCAGTGCGCTGAGTCCATCAGCTGTCGGCGTGCCCTGCCTATTGGATTTTACCTTATTGCGTGTTCACATTGATATCCCGCACGCCGCCCATCTGCCGGAAATTATTTTTGCGGTGGCGAATGCCACATATTAATAAATCAGTTAAAAAAAAGCGCTTTTCGATTGTTCTTTTCCTCTCAGAAAATCGGAGAAAAAATAAAGACGTACAAAAAAACGCCACAGATTTTTGAAAAGATCACAGGCTCAAGCGTGATAGGGGTACTGGAATTCGTGCATACTAATTAAATCTGAATTAAATTGCTGATGGAGTGGGGCTACTCAACGATGTATCCTGGTTTTACTTCATGCGCGACAAGGGGAACTCAGACCGACGGTGGCCTGGGAGCACAAAAATCGTCGCAGCTACAACCAAATGGTATATATTTTAAAATACGCATACTTAATGGATATTGAGTACGTTATAATATGGAGCGTACAGCCGTGAAGTGAGTGTAATTGAGGCGATGACAGCCGTTTGGCCGAGATAGGGGGTGCATATTAGGGCTTCTAGGCCTGGGTGCGCGGAAGTAAATCAGGGTGTCATTTAAAAAGTGAGCATGTCATCTGGATAATTAAAAAAAAAGCTTTTTTTTGACACAACAACGAAAAATTCTAATCATACAAAGCGCAGCTGAGGGGGGTTTTAAGCATCTAACCACAGATGCCACATTCATCTCCTCTCTAAATATAGACACCTCACTTCTTTTTTCTGCAGCTAATTTCCACTCCTCACCTAAACACCTAAGAGTAAATAATTTTTCTATAAAAAGCAAAAAAACTGCTCTCTCCAGCTCCCTATCGCTTCCGGTTTCCTTTTTATAGGACTCGCTCGAAAAAAACCCATCAAAATTTTATTGAGCATTAGAAAGATCGTTTTTCGTGTTTTTGTGGTTTTCTTTTTAAATGAATAAAAATATTGAAATATTGAATTGCCTTAGCGAGCGCTTTTTCACTAAGCTGTTTTGCAGTTTCCCATCGTTTTAGAGAGAGTTTGAGATTATGCGAAATACCAGTTTCA